AGCACAAGTGATCCACTTAGATAGACTTAAAAACTATCGTATGAAGGAGCTCATGAAGGAAGCAATTTGGCTAACTCATGCCCCTCTTTTTATGCAATGTGGGGTTTTTTTACTCCCCCCCCCCTTTGATCAGACCGTGCTCCGCGCTCGTTCCTCCCTTTGCCCCGATCGTGCGTGTCAATTTCACACCATGTGCTGGGCGACCGCATTTTGCTCCACAGCTTTTCCTGATTTCCCCCGCATCTACTCAATCTTGTTTTTTGAGGAGGAGGAGGAGATGGAGGAGGAGGAGATGGAGGAGGAGGAGGAGATGGAGATGGAGATGGAGATGGAGATTGGATTTATACCCCGCCCTTCACTTGGAGTCTCAGAGCGGCTTACAAACTCCTTTCCCCTCCCCTCCCCTCCCCACAACAGACACCCTGGGAGGTGGGTGGGGCTGAGAGAACTCTGACACAAACTGCTCTTTCAAGGACAGCTGTGCCAGAGCTTGTGACTGACCCAAGGTCACATCAGCAGGTGCAAGTGGAGGAGTGGGGAATCAAACCCGGTTCTCCCAGATTAGAGTCCGCACACTTAACCACTACACCAAACTGGCTCTCACTTTTTGTGGTGTTTATGTTTTCACGTATACCTTTAATATTTAAGCATTCTTTACTTAAACACTCAAAGCATTTTGCTTATCAGTTTTTTTGAGATTTCGCCTAAGCTCGTCATATTTTTTTTATTTGCCTGTCCAGTAGAGGAACACAACTTTTTAAATAAAGCTTCTTGTGCCTGCTGACATGTACACTTCTAGATGTGGGTGTGTTTAAAGAAACAGCCCAGTAAGCATTCTTCTGCTTTTAATGGAGTAAAAAAGATTGCTAGTCCAGTTTAACAAAGACTTTCCAAGAAAAGGCTGACTTTTCACCGAGTCACTGTGTTTAGGAAGTGCTGACTTGCATTCTTCTGTTTTTTCCTGTTTCTCATGAATTAAGTTTTGCGAGTGGAGAGAGAGTGAGACGCAGTTCTGTCAAGGCTATACTGCCAGTTGCTTCGGGAGTCTCAAAATGTGAGGTTTTGGAGGGGTTTACACATTGGTTCAGTTAGTGTATTGAGACGTGTTATAAAATCTATCTTTAGAATATCTTAAGGTGATTCCCTCAAGACAAATGACAAAGCTTGATGTTTGTGATCATATAAGAATTTGAAAGGCCATAGAACTACTAGGTGTACGATGAAATCCCTTTTTCATGGCCTGCCTTTCGCATAAAGGTACTTCAGCAGCTGCTGCATGTACTTGAGGCAGGGAACTTGATCAGCAGACTATAGATTTCCAAAACCAGTATGAATTATGGCCAGTGGTAAGGATAGTAGTCCTGCCAACCTAGCCGTTCGAAAGCAAGAAATTGCAAGTAGATAAATAGGTACCACTCCAGTGGGAAGGTCACAGCGTTCCGTGCGCCTCGGTGTTTAGTCATGCCGGCCACATGACCACGGAAACGTCTTCGGACAGCGCTGGCTCTTCGGCTTTGAAACGGAGATGAGCACCGCAACCCTAGAGTCGGACTCGACTGGCTTTCGAGCAAGGGAACTTTACCTTTAAGGATCGTAGGGAGTGCTGTTGCAGAACTAGAGCTGAAGAGTTGGAATCTTAGCAATAACGGCAGATGTTGCTAGCCTTTCCTTCAAGGCTTCAACATCGGTCAGCCACCACTACTGTCATTATGGCCAAACTAACCTCTTCCCTCCTTTGTCAATGGGCAGCATGGATTCTCTGTAGTATGCAGTACTGTGGAGCCTCTCGGTTTACCTGCTTTTTCAGCCTCTTCAGTGTTTGTTTCATGGTTCTAAGGATCGGATGAACTTGTTCATGTGCAAGGTTTGTGTGTTCTTTGTTAAAACACATTAAACTTAGTCGTGCCTGACCGCAGTCTGTCCCCCCAATTTGTTGGTTAGCGAGAGAATAGCAGTGCCTTCAGTAGGTGTCAGAATGGAGGATATGTACTCAACAAGAAGGTTGCAACAGATCCCGCACTGAATGCCTCTGAAAACGCAGGATTTCACAGTGATTAGTATTGTGGGGTTCCCGATGCAAAGGAGGACAAGGCTCCTCTACTCTCCGTAGTTCTGTGGTTCTGCTCCACTACGAAAAGCTTAAATTGCTAGAGGCTAACTCTGCCCCCTTTTTTTTGCAGATTAGCTCTTCTGTTTTGCTTCTCTGTCAGCCTTTATCAGGCGTCATGTTATCCCTTCTCCAAATGTATGTAGACCAGAGCTTGTTTTCTCCCGCTGTGGTAAGAGGAAATTGTCTTGCCTGTCTTCATGTATGCCTCCCTTTTACAGGGAAGCAACATCGAGGCATTTAGAGGATCCCTGTTTCGTAACCACTGGAAACCATGGTTACATCTTGTAGTGGAATG